ACACTGAACTTCAGCCAGAAGTTCAAGTGGCCTGGCTGCGAGTTATCAACGTGGTTGTGAAGCTCCAGGTGTTTGGCATTGCCGCAGTGAATGATGCAATTCCAGCATTTGCTTAGGAAGAGCTCTTGGAAGAACCTGTGGAGGAGCAGGCCTTGGCCAGTTTCTTCCAACTTGCTGTTTTCAAAATGGTTGAGCAGATTTGAAGTTGAGTCAATTTCGCGAAATCCTGGAAACAGCTTTGGCCGGAGGAGCAAGCCTTCGGAGAAATGCCAATGGAAGACGAAGATGCTGCCAAAGAGGCCAGGGTTGTTTTTCTTCAAACCACTCACAAAGGTTCTCAGCAGGTATTGATTCCTGGCGAGCTTTCCAGTGATGTACTCTCGATGCATGTTCGATCGTTTTTCGCATAGTTAGGCTTCCGGATAGAACGCATTTTGTACTACAAGATTGCAATTCGCTAGGTCACTAGAAGACAACAACTGAAGGCGCTCAAGACTTTGCTCCGACATGAACCCACTAGAATGAGCATAAACAACTTGCAGGGGGCTGTTAGTAGCCTTTTTCAAGAGTTACATCATGTTTAAAGGTGCCTTTGAGTCCGTAAAGGGGATTATATAAACACCCTTTTAGATGCTGTCCAAGCCATCCGCGAAAGTATCTTTTTCGCGCGAAAGATTTATCGAAGGTGTTTGCTTTCATATAGTTTCCTTTCTACTGACCGACAAATGGCAGAAATACAAGTCCGGTGGGCGGAAGTGTCCCCACATCTCCCCACTGTCACAGATGAACTGAAGCCTCAACGTTGCCTTGCCCAGCCCTTGCAGTGCGTACAGGATTGTCCGATTCCTGTCCCGACTGTCACCGACTAGCAACCTGTCACCGACTAGTGCGTTCAGCCCTGCGCATGCAAGATTGTCTTTTCCGAAGTTAGCTCACACAAACTGCAACTGCTTCATCACCCTTGCACAGTCCTGGCAGTGAGGCAACGAACCGCATCTCCGACATGTTGTACGGATGCTTGCGCGTGATACGCCTTCTCGCGAAATCACACATGAAACTTTGCGAAATATCCGAAAAGCTTTTGCGCGTGTGCTGTTGGAGTCCAGGTTTCAAGCTTGAGACCCCCCACCATTCCCCGAGCTGCATCACTCTGTGCTGGTAGCTGGCACGAGGATTGGGTTGAGTTGCGGCTGACTCTATACAAGCATCCCCCACAACATCCCACAACCCAGAATACTGTTTTTCTGCACATGTCGCTCAGGTGCTGCAAGTGACCTTGAGTAGTTGTTAGGTATGGCAAGTTTCAGCCTTGTGTGTAGGTCACGCCGCAAGATGTCAGCCATTACTTTGCGATACAAATGTTTAGTTCCAACACATATTAACTAGACATGGTTTTGGGACCTGAGTCCGCGAAACATCCGCGACAAATATATATATATATATATACATATAAAGATTGTTCCGCGAACGCGGAGAATGGCCATGCTGGCACATGAGTTGTCCGTTTCAGTAGTTGTTTTGAGGCCGAAGATTCTTACAATCAGGAAGCAGTGTCAGAGGCACACTTGTGGGGTTAACTTTGGTTGCAACAGACCGATGTCAGAAGCGCAGTGCAAAGGAGACTATGGACACTGAACTTCAGCCAGAAGTTCAAGTGGCCTGGCTGCGAGTTATCAACGTGGTTGTGAAGCTCCAGGT